CTGGTTTGGAGGAAAAGAAATAGTTAGCTCCAACTTGGAAAGGAGGTCATGTCCCAGGAGAAGGATAGGACACTCAGGCATGTACAAGAATTCGTGTTTGATAAAGGGTCCACCAATCTTACAGGGCCTGCTTTGACAGAATTTCTTTATGGTGGGGCCTCCAATGGCGCTGATAACTTGAATTTTCTGGGAGACTAAGGGAGCAACAGGCTGAGTCACAGCTTAATGTTCAGCCGCATTGTCTACCATAAAAGTCATAGGTTTTCCCCGATTCGGCCAATGACTGTGGGCTCCTGGTGGCCCAGTCTAATAGAGCCTGGTCTGTCCTATTCATTGTGGTCATCAAAGAGGTTCAGGCTGAGGTGGCCCCAGATAATCAAGTTTCTTTGTGTCTTGTGGATGGAGGGGGCATTTATCTTTCCAGTGTCCAAACTGCTGGCAGTGAACACATTGGTCAGCTGCCACGGCATAAGATCTGCCACCTCTGCAGGCTGTGAGGCTTGAGGGGTCCCCTTATATCAGCTGCCGTGGTGGGGCTGGCCTTGGTGGGACACTTCAGGAGCAGGCTTTCCTAACACTGCAGCCAGGAGAGCAGCTTTCTGCTGGACTCTGTGATCTGCCTCACGTCATTTCTCCTTTTTTTCTTCCCTTTCTTGGTTTCCAAAGACCTTCTGATCCATCTGAAGTAAATGGGGAACGTTCATGCCAGCAAAACCATCAATCTTTTGGATTTTTCTTCTAATGTCAGAGGCTGACTGTGCAACAAAGAGAGCATTGACCATCTGTTGATTTTTCAGGAGCTTTGGGGTCAAAGAGCATATAGATCTGGTAGGCTTCACAGAGAATCTCATAAAATTTGGCTGGACTTTCACTGGGTTCCTGAGTAGCTTCAGTAACTTTTGACATGTTTGCTGACTTTTCACCTTCTTCTTTGAGTCCTGCAAGGACGGCAGTGTGGTATTGACCTAAGGCCCATAGCCTTCTGCCACTTTACAGTCCCAATTCAGACATGCTTGTGGAAGGACTGTGTTCACCCAAGCATCATGATCAACCACAGTGGGGGGGCTTTTGATTTTAACCAGGCTTGGGCCCCATCTAAAATATGGTGACATTCTTCAGTATTAAACAGAGTCAGAAGGAGTTGCTGACAGTCATCCCATGTTGGCAAGGGGGTACACAGGTGCGGAGCCAAGGTGGGAGAGTTCTTAACCCCTTATGGCAATTGAGTCCAAGTGAATTATTCTTGGAGAATAGGAGGCTGTGGTGCAGGAGACAGAACTAGCAGTGGTAGTGTCACAGCTGGCTGAGCAGCTTGGGGTTGATGAATGTAAGGCTGAGGCAGGTAGGACTCAAGGTCCTCAGGCAGAACAAGATAAAGTTTTTCTAGCTTGGGCTGAATCTGAGAGCCTCTCAGATGGCCTTCTGGGTTTGTTTTGATGAGTAGGATGGCTTTCTTGTCATGCAGGATACAGGTGCAGAGCCAAGGTGGGAGGCTCTCACATAGGTTGAGCCAGGAGTCAATATAAGTAAACTGCTTAGGATGGCCTCACTCATCAGGCTCCGTCACTTTGTTCCAGACTCGATGGACAATTTCAACATCAGGTATCCCTTCAGATGGCCAGTCGGGGCAAGGTTTGGCCATGTAATTTCACAAAAGGCATGGAGCTTCTGAGGTTTCATTTTCAGTCTGTAGTCATCAGGAAATCCTCTTTCAAAGTTTTTCAGGATACAATCAAAGACCATAGGTTTATTCTGCTTGCACCCATTCTGTCTCCCTATGGTGTATGTTATGTACCCTTGAACAAGGGCACAACAGACAAAGGGTGGGTGCTCCTCAAACAAGGAACCAAGCACTCGTCAGTTCTGGCCACTCCCCTCATGGGCACATGAGTCCATCTGGCAGTTGGTGCACTCGTGTAAACCCCAAGCCTCACCAGACCCCCATTACAGAGGGCAAGTCATCTTTTAGCCATAAGACACGACTAAGAACCACGGAAATCTGATCCATTCAAGCTCCATAGCTATGAGGTCCCAGAGGGGCTTTCACCATGGAGCACAAACAGAATGGTCTACTGCTTTCACTTTCCATTACAAACACTCACAATCATTCAGCAGGCACTCAGAGGTTAAACAATGCAACCCCCTTCCTTTAGAGTGACCTTGACTAACAAGAGGCGATCAAGTTTTTCTTCTGCTCAAACTGGGCAGGACTGACAGTTTGACTGACTGGAGTGCTCCTGGGGGTCATACCTTATCTTATGTCCTGACCTGATTGCATCTTTTCCCCTTCTTTTGGGTCTGATGGGGGCCATTAGTGCTGAGCAGGGGCCTCCGGTCTAAGCCTCTGAGGGGACTCCAAGAAAATCTGAAGGGTGTGCCTTCCCATCAAGGAGTCTGGAGAGCTCACTGCTCCAACCACCAAGCTCCAGCCAGTGGCCTAAGCAGCCAACGTGGCTTTCCTAGTCAGGAAACCAAGAATACTGCAGCAAAACTGAGTCTGGAAAAGGAACGACACCAAAGGAAGTCAGAAGGCAGTAAACAGCTTTATTTTACACCAGTGGTCCCGGCTGGAATAACTTCAAACAAAAGCCAGGCAGTGAGCATTTGTGAGTCAGCATTTTTATATAAGGCATAATCAGGGGTTACAAAGGTGGGCTGGAAAGCCTGGCAGTTCTGATTAGCTAGCAGGGTGAGGTCACTTGTTACAGGGCTAGACTAATGGCCATCAGTTACAAGACCAGATTAATGACCATAAAGCTTGGTACAATCAAGTATCCTGAATGTTTGGCTATGCTCAAGTGGTTATGGGGGTCAAGAAAGCAATTACAGAGCTAGGCAGCTTCAGAGAGAACAAAGTTTTAAAAAGCACAAAGTTTTTATAAAGAAAAACTTTATACAGTTTTTCCCTTTCACAGATACTTGGTAGAATTGGAAAATAGTAGTCCTCATTCCCAGTGTAGCCTGGGAGCTATAGAAGAAGCAGAAAAGAATCAGGTCCTTTTTAAAACTTTATTTCCAAAGAATTATCATTGTTTGATCTGTCTGCTGGTTTTTGTAAGACCCTGTTTTCAAGCCTTTCTCTATGTGACCTGACTCAGAATTCATCCAGTGAGAAAGCCTTTTCCTTAGGGGCCATTTGCCAAAAACAATTACAGGCAAGGGTTCTTCATTTGTGGTTGAATAAAGTGGGCGACAGTTGGAGCAAATAACAGACCAGACTAACCAAAGAGCTAAGAAACAAACAAACAAACAAAAAACCTAGGAAATGAGATGCTTATAGGAACTTTGTATGTCTTTTTTTTTTTTGAGGATTGAACTACTCAATAATTGCATCCTCTTAAAAGTTGAATACATTTCAAAAGCTGGTTTATAAATCATTAACCAAGGTTGCTCTGGTAAAAGTTCAAACAGATATAAAAGTGCTATAGCATAGGAAATAATTTACTTTGAAAAAATTTTGTACATTTGACATTTTAAAAGATTGTCATTTAGATCAACTGCAAGCTTTTTGTATTCAACAAGGCAACTCAATCCTGGATTGAAAGGGGCAGAGGAACTCTGAGACTGAATGACACAGCAAGCAGTGACTGTGGGACATTACAGTCAAGATTAAGTAAGGAATCATTTTGTAAAGCAAGCCGTAATTTCTCAGGGTAAAATTGCTAATACAGGTACATATCACTTTCTGGACACATGTTGTAAAACACACCAATAAATCAGACTGTGGAAAACAATATTATTTTCAATGTACCCTAGAGGCTTATCTTTTCAAGGTGACTGTCCTGCCAGACTTTATGGGTTCTAGTTCTGGTTCCACCACTAACTAGTGACATTGGAAAAGTGACCTAACCTCTTTCTGCCCTAGTTGTATCAGCTTAAAAAGGGGATAACTGTAGTTTGTAAGTTCTGAACAATTGTGAGAATTCAACGAGATACTATGTAAAGCACCTATGTTGAAGCCCAGAATAATCTCAATATTAGTAGAAGGAATATGCTACAAATCATCTTGCAAAGTGAAGTTTTTCCAAAAGAAAATACTTAAGGAACTTTAAAAATCTCCTAACGAATTACTGGAAATCTCAAAAGCAAACCACCCCAGTAGTTTGTATATCCACTGGAGATACTTTGTGTATCCACACTGGAGAAAACTCTAAACTCTCGCTTCTGGCTGACCTGGAGATTCTGATCAGCAAGAGGTTATGGCTAAGGCAGAATTGCTACTTTGTACAGTCTTGCTTTGTAGGATAATGGAAATGTTTTGAGTTAGATAGTGGGCATTGCACAGTGGCATGTGCCTGTAATCCCAGCACTCTGAGAGGCTGAGGCAGGAGAATCACAAGTTCAAGCCCACTCTGAGTATATTTATAGAAGAGGGGATGTAGTTCAGTATAAAGGCCCTAAGTTCAATCTAGAAACACAGAGAGAGAGAGAGAGAGAGACAGAGAGAGACAGAGAGAGAGAGAGAGACAGAGAGACAGAGACAGAGACAGAGACACAGAGAGACAGAGACAGACAGAGAGAGACAGAGAGACAGAGAGACAGAGACAGAGAGACAGAGAGAGACGTAACAGTTATACAATCTTGATGGAATATACTAAAAACCAGTGAGCTGTACATTTTAAAGTGCATTTTTATGTTAAGTGAGTGTAACAGTGACAGAAAGGGGCAGATATAAGACAGTATAAAGAATACACACCTTTTGCATTAAAAAGCTGTTATGGAAAAATGTGCTTATGCTTGCCTAAACACTACAAAGATTTCCAAGAAACTAACACAGTTGGTCACTGCTGAGGCCGGAGAAGGTGGGAACAGGGTGAACTGCACGGGGAATGGGGCACACCTTCTCAGGGCATAGTTTTCTGTAGCATCTGCATTATTGAACTCTACAAATATACTACACATATGAACTATAGCAGAAGATAAAATTATTTTTTACAAAAAGGAAACAAAATCCCTCCCTCAGTGGCTTCTATTTCTCTTCTGCCTGCACAACTGTCTAGACCGGGCAACGGCCCTCATGTCCTGCATTCTGGTGGGTGGATGGCAAAGGAGCAGAGGTCAAGTGGAGCTTTGAGGAGCTGGGGAAGCAGTCCAGGAAAGCGGCCAATGTTCTGGGGGACGCTTGCAGCCTGCAGCCTGGGGACAGAATGATGCTGGTGCTCCCACGACTCCCGGAATGGTGGCTGGTCAGTGTGGCCTGCATGCGCACAGGTCAGTAGCAGGGCTGGGTCTCCCAGTCAGGGCTGACACTACCTGCCAGAGCTTGGCAGTTTCCACAAGGGTGGGGAGATGGATCAAAGTGAATCCTATGTGGTTTGTTTGCTTCCCCTTTGCCTAACAATCACAAACTTGATTCCAGACAACACTGGAACAGATAAAAAGCAGCCCCACTCAGTGAGATCCAAAGCACAAGGGGCTCCCGCAGTTTTCTTGAGCTGTTGCTAAGTGTTAGCCGCCATGTTAAGTGATCTGCATGACCGAAACTTCCCTTTGGAGTGTTATATTTTATGTTATGTAGATTTCCCCAGTTCCTCTGTTTATACAAGTTCATCCATTTCTATGCTGACCAAACAAAATAACCCAAAACCACGACCCATGTTATTGCATAGTCTCTCCCTGTTAGAAGACACCCAAGCTGATGCCCTTGAAGTCCCACGTCCCATGTTCTCCTTAGACATACTTGTCACCTCTCTTCTAGACTATGTTGTCTGATTTATTTCTCCTGCTAACAGCCCTTGCTGTCTCCTGGCTGCTTGGGCTCCAAACTAGAACACAGTTCCCAAAGTACCACAAACAAATGAACAAGACTTCTACTGGAAATAACTAAACTGGAGAGGGAATGAAGACCAAAATCTTCATAATGGCCTTTAAATTCTGCAAATGTTTGGGAAGTAAAGCAAAGGGCAATAGGACTGATGTTATTTGAGATTGTTCCCTTCCTCTGCCTCCCGTCCTCACTGCTGGATGTAGGGAGTGATTAATGCTTCAGGACTTGTTTCTTCTCATCTGTGAAATGAGGATGTTAGACTCAAAGGAATGTTTACAACCCACATTCTCAGATACTTAAGGGTTTTTAAGTGTATGCTTAAAATATGTTCCTGATTTCTGCTCACTCCTTCCCTGTGGTAAAATCAGCTACCCTTAGAATGGCTCTGGTTAAAACAGTGTGGGTGCCTTGGTACCCCACCTGCCATACTCTCCCTATATTCCCCCTATACCACAAGCAACCACACCCAACACATCATTGTCACATTTTGTTTGAAATTTATGGAAAACCACTAAACTAGGTAATCTCTAAGGTAACATAATACCATCACGATCATAGATTCTTGGGTTTACCACTGCTTGTCTTCATAATTCCCTTTATGACATAATAGTTATGTGAACTTGGGCAAATATAAGTTTTTTAATCTATCTAATGAGTGTCATAATAGAATTCACTTCCCAGGGTTGTGAAAATTAAATAAAATAATGCATGTAAGGTTCTTAGTGCATGTTAGTGCTCCATAAATATTTTCTTCCTTTTGTTAGTATTATTATAGTCATCTATTCCAGCCCTGTCCGGCCCCTGCCTGCTTCTGTGCCTGGCCTCTGCTCTGGGGTCTTCCTCTGCTATTCAGACAACACCCCCTCTGTGTGATTTCAGGGGTTGTCATGATTCCGGGTGTCTCCCAGCTGACAGAGAAGGACCTCAAGTACCGGTTGCAGGTGTCCAGGGCCAAGTCCATTATCACCAGTGACTCTCTCGCTCCGCACGTGGATGCCATCAGCTCCGAATGCCCCACCCTACAGACCAAGCTATTGGTGTCAGACACCAGTCGCCCAGGCTGGTTGAACTTCAGGGAACTGCTGCAGTGAGTCAAGGCTGTGCAAGAGAATAACAAGGAAATAAAGTCAGGCATTTTCCCTTTAAGCAACAAAGCATGAAATGAATTGCTAGCTATCTTTGAAGACAGTGACTCAGGGAGAAGCACTCACTGTGGAAGCCAGATTGACCTGAGACATAGTCCTTGTGACCACTTTAATGTTCAGGTTCACTCATTCAGTCAGCACTAGATGTGTCCCTGGCTTTTCTGAACCCCACTTCCCTCTAGGTTGGTGGCATTAGTTATTACAGTCGGGTTATCTGATATAACCCATATGCTACCTTTAGTACCTAGCAAGTGGTCAATAATAAAATAGCCGCCATGTACTGAGTGCTTAGTGTATGCTAGGCACAATGCTGAGTAAGCATTCGCCTACTTTCATCCATGCAGGAGAGTTTTACTTCATTAAATGGCAAGCACTGTGTGTGGTTTTCCCAACCATAATGAATAAAACACACTATCTTGGAGTGTCTAGAAAAAGCCTGGAAAAGAACTCCATGAAGTAGACAATCTAATCCCACCTTACAGATGAGGAAATAAACTTGAAACAGTGAAATGACTTGCCCAAGATACTAAAAAGAAGTCAAGTCAGGGGTGGAATGGGTCCAAAGCCACATTTGCCTTGAATCAAGGACCTGGGACATTGATACTTTCTCCCAAGCAAAGGCCAGAGTCCAAAAGGGACCCCTCAGAGTCCTGCGCTATAGAGTCATCAATGTGCATCCTACAGACCAGATTCCCCTGGGTGCTTCTCAAACATACATTCCAAGGGCCTACACCTGACCTACTTAATCAGACATATCTGAGCTGGGGCCCTGGGAATCTGTAGGTTTAAAATCAACCCATATGATTTAGATGAGCTGCAAGATTGGTCTAGATCCGCAGCCCTCAATTTTAGTTGTCATTACAAGAAACTGGGGCACTTTAAAATAATCCCTCTAAAGTTCAAAGAATTGAGATAGCAATGAGGTAACACCTAAATATGCAGAAGTATGCATGTGTGTGTGTGTGTGTGTGTGTGTGTGTGTGTGTGTGTGTTCCACTAGCAGGTCCTTGGGCCCCAGTAGAAGAACATGGGGCTCTCAGACTCATTTAACTTTGTCTGCAAAAGAATGACAGAGCTCCTGTAAGTGGGTGTGGATAATGCAAACTGACACTCAGCCCAGTACCTCACACATGGTATTTGGCAAAACGGTGGTCATATCGTTACTTTGATAGCACTGGCACCACTCACTAGATTTCCTACTAGGCACACCACCTGGTATGTGCACCTCTTCCAGAGAGGCATCTACAAAGCACAGCTGTGTGAGGACCAAGAGTCAGGACGCACTGGCCATCTACTTCACCAGTGGGACGACTGGAGCCCCCAAGATGGTGGAGCACTCTCATTGCAGCTATGGACTGGGCTTTGTGGCCAGTGGAAGGTACCAGAGACAGCCTATCTAGTGGGCCCAAGAACAGAGGGGGGTGGGTGAGTGTAGGGGTGAGGGAGGGTTAAATGGCAGCAATTGAGGTGGGAGGCGATGAGAGGGCAAGTCAGTCTCTGGGCTTTACCCTGAGAAAAATGAAAACCCATTGGAAGTTTTTATGGAAAAATCTGCATAAGACGTTTACTATTTTTAAAACATGTATTTTTACCCAGTTCATAAAAACTGTGGCTATTCAGGGACAGCCATGTGATGTTTCAGTACATGTATATATTGTGTAATGTTTAAATTAGGGAAAACCAGGGTAAACCTACCTATATCCTCAAACACATCATTTATCCATGGTGGGAACATTCAAAATCTTCTAGCAAATTTTATCATTATCACCATTCAAACACATCATCCATTATCATTAAATACTCTCACATTGTTGTGCAACCATCTCCACCTTCCATCTTCAGAAAGGTTTTTATATCTTCCTAAACAGAAACTATACCCGCTGCATGATACTCTATACCCATTGCATACCCACTGCATACCCATTGCATGATAATCTGCTTCCCATCTCTATGAATTTAACTACTCGAGGTACCCCGTGTGAGCAGGAGTATACAATATTTCTCCATGGGTTTTGAAATTTGTCTCCTTTCACTTAGCCTCATGTCCTCAGGGTTCCTCCGTATGGGAGCACACGTCAAAGTTTCCTAACTTTTCAAGACTAAAAATGTGTTGTATTCCACGCACACATCACATTGTTAAATCCATGAACGTGCTGGTAGAAACTTGGTTACTGCCCCTCTTCTCTGGCTCTCCTCTGTGGTTCTATATGTATCATTAAGTCGGACTATGCATCATTAATGTCATCTCCTCTCCAGAAGCATTGCTCAGCCCCCATCTCCACCCCTGCTCTGGTTTAGGCTTCTAGACTCTGTCATCGTATAAGGTTTGTGTTTTGCTCTGTTAATGCATGCTCTCTGGGGGCTTCCTAGATGTATATTCTTACTAAACTGTAAGCCACTCAAAGTAAATTAAACTAAGCATTTCTACATCCCTGATGCTAAGTGTGAACTGAGTGCTAAATAAATGTTGGCTGAAAAAAAAGTGCCCTTATCCCAACGTGTTGGGACCATTTGATACCTCATATATTGCTCTTTCTACACTGTGAACTGCTTGAAAACATGGGATCTGTCATGTTAATTCTGCATCCTTAGCCTAGGTTATAGGTACACAAAAGACACTCAAAAAAATTTCAAGTTGACTTGGTGATTTGTATACATATTTGACAAGCATAAATGAGTATGCAGCCACAGTGACCAGTGCCCCAAATAAGACGATATGGATATGTAACCCTTTTTTATATCACCTACAACTGACCCCTATTTATTTTTCATTTTGAAATAGGGTCTCCCTAAGTTTCTCAGGTTGAACTCAACTTGTGATCCTCCTGCCTCAGCCTCCCAAGTAGCTGGGATTCAAGTTAAAGGCATTGCTGAGAATGCTGACTCTCTCTCCTTTTTTACAGTCGGTGGATGGGCTTGACTGGATCAGATATCTTCTGGAACACAACTGACACTGGCTGGGTGAAGGCAGCCTGGAGTCTGTTCCCTACCTGGGGTATTGGATCTTGTCTTTTTGTGCATGAGATGCCCCGAGTTGACACCAAACTTATCCTGAACGTAAGAGACCGAATGAAACATCACTGAAGTGTTGGGTGTAAATGAGATGCGTGGGGTTTGGGTTTCAAGGCTGTACGAGAAAAAGTATGAGCCAGTGAGCATAAAGCTTCCTTCATACCGATATTAGCCAAGAAATTTCCCAGGACCTTCCCTAATCTAGGTCCTGTACTGCTGCCTATCTTCAATCATTGTCTACCCCCAAGCTAGATCCCTAGATAAAGAGCATTTCCTCCCTCCAAACCTTTGTACAACCTTTTTTCCCTCCCTAAGGTGCCTCTCTATCAGCTTCTTCCCCGTGATCCTGTCAAAACCCTGGTCACTCGGCAAATCTTTGGGTCAAATCGGAGTCCGCTCAGCAGCATGTCCTGCTGTCCATGGTGCTTACCATGAGTCTTGCACCCACCTGCAGTCCTGTTGACCCTTGCCCAGCCTCCCAGGGGTTTCTCACGCAGAGGGAGAATTGGTACGCCCAGCAAAGACACAGAACGTCTTTCTTCTGTCCTCTGAATCCTAACAGATGGTCCCTAAAACATCACGGAGCCAATCTGCCTATAATTTTGTTTTAGGCAAGCTGTATCATATGGTGACAAGTAGCACAGGCTGCACCCTCGGTCAGACATGGCTCTCAGCCTAAATATTCCCTAATAGTGTGGCCATGGAAAAGTCACCTAGCCTCCATGAGACTCAGTTTCCATATCTGAAAGAAATAAAGAAAAGGATAACATAGTTCTATAGAGTTATCATGAGAATGAAATGGTACCAGGCATAGGGCCTGGCACATTGTAGGTTCTTAGCACACATTATTATTATTTGTAAAATTCATCATCATCGGATCCATATAGGACTTGATCAGCTAATGTGTGTATGTGTGTGTGTTCTCCCTTTATTGCCCTGCTCTGACATAGTGTGTTCTTTATCTACTGCTCTGGTAAATTAACCCAAAATGTAGCAGTTTAAAACACACCATTGGTTATGTGCCAGTTTCCACTGGTTAAGAATCTGGAAGCACTTCAGGTCAGTGGTTCTAAAGCTAGAGCTCTCATGAGGTTGTCAAGATATCAGCAGGTACACTATGCTCACAGCAATAGCTAAAAGGTAGAAGTAACCATGTGCATAACCACAGATGAAAGGATAAGTAAAATGTAGTCTATACCTTCAATTAAATATTGTTCAGCCTTTATAAGGAAGGCAATTCTGCTACTACATGGACGAACCTTGAGCATATTATGCTAAGTGAAAGAAGCCAGGCATTGAAAGATAAATGCTGTATGATTTCACTTACATAAGGTTCCTGGAGTAGTTAGGTCAATAGAGACAGGAAGTAGATGGGTGGTTACCAGGAGTGAGGGAAGCGGGTAACAGTGAGTTATTATGTACTGAGTTAAAAGTTTGTTTGGAAAGATAATGAGTTTGGAGATGGATGGAGGTCATAGTTTCATAGCAATATGAAAATAATGTCCACTTTAAAATGGGTAAAGTAAGTAAATGTGATGTTGTACTTTACCACAACAATAATTTTTAGAAACATATCATGACTGCAGTCATCTGCAGGCTTGGTTGGGGCTGGAAAATCTGCTCGAAACCATGTTTCTTAGAGACTTCCATTGCTCACTGACTACTGGTGGTAGCTTCAGTTCCCCACTCTGTGTGCTCATCCACAGAACAAAGTGGACTCACAGCACGGTAGTTTGCTTCCTCCATAGTGAGCAACCCAGGAGCAGGAGAGAGCAAAGCCTCCAAACCAGATGCCATCATGTGTGTAGGCCCTAATCTCAAAGGTGACATCCATCATCTTGACTATGTGCTATTGGTCACAGAAGCCAATTTAGGTGTACTGTGGGAAAGGACCCCCAAAAGCATGAATATCAGGAGGTGGGGGCCTGCTCTCTTGGGAAATATTCCACACGTAGTTAATAATGAGAATATAAAGGCCCAGTTCACCTGCTTCACTTACATGAAATGAACAGTGACCCTAAGAACTGGTTGTTGTTGCTGTTGTTTGTTGTTTGTTATTGTTGTCCGGAAAAAAGGTCTCTGTGTATCCCAGGCTGCCCTTGAATTTATGATCCTCCTACTTCAGCTGAAATGAGAGGTGTATGCTCTCATGCCTGGCTTATCTCTGGTTTTTGTTTAGACCCTCTCCAGGTTCCCGATAACCAACCTCTGCTGCGTCCCAACCATCTTCCGGCTGCTTGTTCAGGAGGATCTGACCAAGTATGGTCCATCACATGGGGCTTTGAGGGTCTGATGATGCTAGTATGCAGCAGGGAAGGCCACGTACACACCATCTGCTCCTGGAGCAGCTTATGGAACAGGGAAGTTTACCCTGTGGGCCTTTGGGCATCTGTACCCATGAAGGGTGCTGGAGGGTGGGAGGCACTGGGCCCTGACTTGGGTGACTTTCCTTTCCCACCTGAGAAAGGTACCAGTTCCAGAGCCTGAGGCACTGTTTGACGGGGGGAGAGGCCCTCAACCCTGATGTGCGAGATAAGTGGAAGAGCCAGACCGGTCTGGAGCTCCATGAAGGCTACGGGCAGTCAGAAACGGTGAGCACAGGGGTCAGGCCCTGCCTCCATAGCAGCCCTCGGCCATCTGAGGATCGTAGCCTATAACACCTCCTGCCTTTGTGACTGTCCTCTCCCTGACACCTGTCTCCAGAAGGAAACATGGACAATGAAACTGTAGTAACAGGGGCTGGGGATTTAGCTCAGCGACAAAGCGCCTGCCTGGCAAGCGCAAGGTCGTGAGTTAGATTCCTGGTACCAGAAGAAAAACAAAAAAACAAACAAACAAAAAAAGAAACTGTAGTAACAGAACTCTGTCAGCTTTTCTGCCTTTTGGTTTAAAAGTAAAGTAATTGCCTAGTTGTCCCAACAAACAGCTCTTGCGGCCGAGGGTATTGTCTGTCTCCACCAGAACAATACACACCTGTTCCTGATGGAGCCCCAAACCTAAGCAGTGTCCTCTGGCTTAGTGATAATATATGAATTTCTTTGTGTGAGTACACATTAGTGCACTCTGTAAATGTTTGTTGACTATGGAAAGAGAGGAGAAAAGGAAGGAAAGAATGAAAGGAAGGAGGGTAGGATAAATGAGCGGACGGATGGATGGATGGATGGCTGGGTGGATGGCTGGGTGGATGGCTGGGTGGGTGGCTGGATGGGTGGATGGATGGACGGATGGGGAGAGGAATGGAAGCGAAGTAAGGAGGGTAGGAAGGAAAATGGAAACAAAGAAATAAAAAGAAAAAGAGACTGTGGAAGATAGGAGGGAAAAGAAAGGAAAGAAAACAGAGGAGGAAAGAAGGGAGAGGAGAGAAAGTGAAGAAGGAGAAGTAAGGGAGGGAGAAAGAACTGGATAGCAGATGAGAGAAAGGCACCCATCAGAAAAGATGCAAAGAAGATGCAGCTTGACTGGCTCCTGACTGGCTCCTGTTTCTCTCCAGGTTACAATCTGTGCCAACGCAAGAGGCACAAAGATCAAGTCTGGTTCCATGGGCCGAGCATCCCCACCTTACGATGTGCAGGTAGGACAGTGAAAGACCTGTGCTAAGTGAGCCCAGGCTTGGCTGGTGGGTGGCCTGGTGATGCAGATGCTCAGACACTGTCCTATGATTGTTCCCATCAGATTGTGGATGATGAGGGCAACGTCCTGCCTCCAGGAGAAGAGGGGAACATTGGTGTCCGCATCAGACCCACCCGGCCCTTCTGTTTCTTCAATTGCTATTTGGTAAGGGACAAGGAACAGCCATTCTCATTACTATAGAGTTCATGGCAAGACTTGTGCAGCACATTTTATAAAATACCTGTTGTTTGACCCTTGCATAACTGCACAAAGTAGGTTGCTACCATTATCCCTAAGGTACTATCACTGATCAGAAAAACTATTGTTGATAAGCAAACTACAGAAATGAAGTGACTCATCCACTGTCACCCAGTCAGTAGCATGGATCATTGGACTTAAACAGAGGTGTGTCAAGGGTGCAAACATATGACAGGAAGTTGTCCTCATCATTTAAAGAAGAGAAAAACTGAAGTCCAGGGAAAGAAAGGGACTTACCAAAGATCAGACTGCAATTATAGGTCAGAGTCAAATTTTCAGGATTCTTTATGTGGTTTCCTGACATTCCTTGTGCTTTAAGATTTCAGTTCAAATTTCTGCAGCAGTCAGAAATAATATAGCATCATGTATTGATAGTCTGTTTCTGACAAGTTAAAACCACCCTCCCCCCAAATTAAGTGTGCATTTTCCAAGTTCATGTTGGCCAGTCCCAAATAGCTGAAACTGCAATACTTGTCAAACTAATATACCCATATCAATTTTATACCCAATATTTTATTACAGTAAAAGATACATTGCCATTAACCTCCCTCACAATATTCCTCCTCACTTAGAACACACTTATCCCATCATTCTTGCCACTTTCTGAAGCAGTTCTGGCAGTCCTCTTTTGTCAGTGTCTTTGCGAGATGTGGCCAAAAATAGAGTGAATGGTTCTGGTGAGTACCATCCAGTGAAAAGGCAGTGTTGTAAACAATATTACAGTGTGTCCTCATCCACCTTATTCACTGGATATGGCACTGTGCCACTTCTGCATCTTCCCCAAAGCCAAAATCACCATGAAAAGTAAACATTTTGAAAAAATTCAGGAAATCAAGGCAGCTACAACAGCACAACTAAAGACATTCATGAAAGAGGACTTCCAGAATTGCTTGAGAAAGTGGCAAGAGTGATGGGATAAGTGTGTTCTAAGTGATGTGAAGTATTTTGAGGGGGTTATTGGCAATGTGTCATTTGCTCTAATAATTGTTTAAAACTTAAACATTCACTCTGGTTTTCTGATCATACCTCATACCCTTGTCAAGTTCCATGAAAATGTTTGTAAGCATTTTAATTCAGGTTGCATTCAGTCCATAAATCAACATAGAAAGAACTGACATCTCTCTAATTCTTTCCATCTTTCTATTTATATATGTCTTCTTTAATATCCTATACTTTTACATGTTCTATGTACACACACAGATTTTGCACTGGATATATTTTTAGGCACTGATAGCTTATCTTTTTCCTTTTTTCTCAAAATGCATTTTTCAGTGGTGACATAATTTTATAATTTCCCTACCAAAAATGCACCCATATTAAGTGTATGGGTCAGTGACATTTGACAGATGTATGTGCCTCTGTATCCACCACCACAGCCAAGATAGGGAACATTACTGTCACCCCAAGAGTTCTCTTGTGCCCCTTTGCAGTCACTCTCCCTACTCCAGATCCTAGGCAATTTGTATATTATTTGTTTTTACTATATAATAATTTTACCTTTTAAAAAAGAATTTACATAAATGTAACCATAAAATACCCACTTTTGAGTGTCTAGTTTCCTATGCTCAGCATAATATGCTTGCCATTCTTATATATTGTTGCACGTACTAGGAATTTATTTCTTTTTATTGCCCAGTAGTAGCTTTTTCTTTAAAGCTGTGAGAATCGCAGTTTATTGTTTGTGTTCTCTTTCCTCCACCCTTGACTCCCACCCATGAATAGGTCTTTCAACCAACCCCTCACTTTCTACCTCCTACTTCCAGTGTGTTTTTTATTCAGAGACAAATCACTGGAATCCACCCTGAATCACTTCCTGGCAGCTCCCTTCAAATTTAAGGAGGGACACCCACAAAGTCACAGGACCATACTCCCTGCTCACAGGGCATTCTGGCTGGCACGGGCTTTGGAACTAACTGCTGGGCTTCTTGCTGGGGGCTCCCCAACCTCCTGCACAGAGCTGCTGTGGCAGTGGCCGCCCTAAATGGCGCTCAGCTGGTCCCTCAAGGGCTTTCTGTGTCTTTCAGGACAATCCTGAGAAGACAGCTGCATCCGAACAAGGAGACTTTTACATCACAGGGGACCGAGGCCGCATGGACGCAGATGGTTACTTTTGGTTCTTGGGAAGAAATGATGATGTGATCAACTCCTCAAGGTCGAGCTGTCTGCTCTTTTCTTTGCCCTTTGTGCTTTCACAGGGGAAGGAAGGTCCCCTTGGAAAAGTTTGTTTTTCTCTTCCAGCTACCGCATTGGACCTGTTGAAGTGGAGAGTGCCCTTGCCGAACACCCTGCTGTCCTTGAGTGTGCTGTGGTCAGCAGCCCAGACCCCATCCGGGGGGAGGTAGGAAGACCAGCTCAGGACGTGGCCTCCTGCTTCTGTACCTATTAGCACCCAGCAGAGCAGGCAGGAAGGGCCGGATACCCCCATCCAGTCCCACCAAATACTCCCATTAGCCTCCTTTCCTTTTTATTGAGCATCACCTTTCACAACTTCAGAGAAATCCTTTCTAGAGGGACATGATGTGAAAACACCAAACTTCCCTCTTGAGGGAACACTGAATGAGGTTCAGAGGGGCTGTTGAGCACTTCTTGGTGGCAGATGTAGGTTCTGTCATTCACTCTGCCCAGTAAAAAGTCCTTTTCAGTTTGCACGTGAGGATCCAGTGAGCACACTAGACATGGTTGCTGAGGGCTCTACCTCAGAAGGAACAGCCAACTTGAGAGATGCCAAGATATGTATCCAAAATGGCCTTGATATACCAGGAACATGAGCCAAGTGTAATAAGCTGAGCTTTACAGGAGAAATACATATTCCCTTTTGTAGGTTCCAGAGGAACAGAACTGGAAAGACTGGCTAACACACCAACATATTTTCACTGACTGTAAACCCAATATAATCTTAAAGTACAATGCAACTTTCTCATGAAAGTTATTGCAACATCATTTTGCACCCTTGAAAGCATCAGAGTCAGAGGAGGGATTCTCAGATCTGTAGACCTCAAGTTAGACTTCTGAATCAGACTGACTGGGATGCAGCCCAGTCAGCAGCCCCCTGCCAAATGATTCCCCACTAAAAGTTGAGTCCAGGAATATAGGATGGGGGAGATGTGAATCCCAGCCATGCTGGAGAAATTACCTTGGAAAAGTATACCTTGTCAGCATGGTGTCAGTTCACTGGAGCCAAAACAGATGGCTGTATCTTTACAGTTAGTTCGTGTATAATGCTTAGAATAGAGCCTGGCACATAACAAGTGCTCAATAAATGTTTCGTATTTTTCATAGTAAGACAAAGCACTTGCTGGAAGTCATATCTGCCTAAATATGAAATGACAGTGAGCTTCCCACCTCTGGGAGGTGTGTAAGGACCATGAACTGCCCTTAAGATGCTGGCAGAGTTTGAGGCTCATGTGGACCTGCAACCCAGTGGCTATTTGAGCTTTTTCATTCCTATGAGAAACCCTGCTCAGTTATGCCTGAGTATAGCGCTCTTACTCCTCCTGGGCAAGAGGCAACCTGGGCAGAGAAAGCCGAGGTACAGATGTCTTCAGGATGCTCAGAATAGAAGTAGCACAGCTCAATATTTGTTGATTGTAAATATTCTGTCCCACTCACCCACTTCCCACCCCCATGCAAAAAAAGGAGAACACAGCTTCTCTTAGAAGTTCTTGTATTTTCTCCAGCACTGCTCTCCTGAACCCATTCCTTGCTATCCTGCTAGTCAGGAAAAACTGGAAGCAAATGGCCACAGGAGTCTGTGAAGCTCCTTTCTCCAATGCATTTGCCTCTTGAGAGAGGTAATGTTGCCTTCTAATGGGGTCATGGCAGCATAGGAGTTTGCTTGGCAAAGAGATAGGGCTCAGAACTCAAGAACTCATTCCACCAAACCAGTGCTTCCAAGAGTTGAGCCTGAAAAACAAACTACAGAGAAATTCACGCTGTCCATTTCAATGGCTGTGCCCGTGAAATTAGCAGAACCATCAGGATGGGCTGGGAAGTGTGAGCACACGGTTACAAGGCTGCCTGAGGAGAGAAGAGTTGTGATAGAAGGCTTGATCTTGTGGGGGTCTTTGCAGGTGGTGAAGGCATTCATAGTCCTCACTCCAGCCTACTCATCCCATGACCCAGAGGCACTGACCCGGGAACTCCAGGAGCATGTAAAGAAGGTGACTGCTCCATACAAGTACCCTAGGAAGGTAAACACCCTCTGTTCTAGGTCACAACAAGCCGGGAAGTCAGAGGACCACATGGCACTTGGGCTCACACACAGGGTCAGGCTCTGTGCCACATACTGGGAGGGCAGAGGCAGAGAGACACACACCCTCAGTTCCTGCTACAGCCTTTCCTTCCCTCCTTCCCTCATTTCTCTCTTTCTTCTTTCTTTCTTTTCAGTACTGGGGATTGAATCCTACAGTAATCTACCACTGACTTACATCCTAAGTCCTTTTTATTTTTTATTTTGAAACAAGGTCTCATTAAGTTGGCTTTCACCTTGTGAACCTCTTGCCTCAGCCTCCTGCGGTGATTGGATTACCACCTCACCCAACTTGTCGGTCTGTTTTTTTACTGGGGCCTCCCCCAGGCACACTGTGCTCTTCTCTAAGAACTAGCCCATAAATCAGATAAGGAAGGTGGTGCAGAAATGCTGAGAGACCCCCTGCTCCAGGCTCTAGCTACTTGGATCGTTGGCACTTGGGCAAAAGCCTGGCTCATGAAAGCTTTCCCAGAAGTGGCAGCAGATAATCTCTCTTTCAAGACAAGTGTCTCTTGGGAAAATGATTTCTAAGTGCTTTTTGTTTTTGTTTTTTTCTGGTCACTAGGTGGCTTTTGTTTCAGAACTGCCGAAGACGGTTTCTGGAAAGATCCAAAGGAGTAAACTGAGAAACCAAGAGTGGGGAAGATGATGTGCAACCCCAGGTCCTTAGCCCTCTGGATGTTCCAGGAAGTGGTGGAATCACTGGTCAGCCCCTGCTCAGAACAGTGACCCCTCAATCCCATAGCCGTCAAGATGCTCAGCTTCTAAGTGGGCATCTCCAGGATCACTGCAGGATCCTGGAGGAGAAAGGAAGAGAGCACCACTGACCCAGAGCACACAGCCACGGCCCAGTCTGGCAAATGCTCAGTGGCTCAACTTGCCCTGCTGACTGGAGGCATCCCCTGCATCTACCCCTTGGTCTTACTAAGAGCCCCAGCTGCCTGGAGCAATAACGGGTCAGCATAGCCTTCATTATTTGTGTATCATCCCTCATGTGGGAGCATAAAGATTTAACCTTTTGGATGAAGCCATTTGGTAACAGCATCCAGGCCATAAAAGTGGCCATCCCCTTTAACTTAGAAATTCCAACTCTGGAAGGCTGAGGCAGGAGGACTGCAAGTTCAAGCCTTGGCCCGCTTAAAGATTTAGCGTGACCCTGTCTCATAGCGGGGAAAAAAGCCCTGGGTATGTAGCTCAGTGCAAAAGCATGGGGTTTAATTCCCCCGTACTGCAAAGAAAAAAAAAACAGAAAACGTTTGGTGCACAGAGATGTTCACTGCAGCATTGTTTAAAACTGAAAAACAGAGCAAAATATCAATGTCAAAACAACAAGAAAAATGATTATGCCATCATCAATTAAATCAATAGCATATTAGATGGTTATTTAAATTATTCAAGCATTGAGATTTTTATAGGTAAATGGATATAACTTGAGACCATACTCATCAGTGAAATAAATCAGATTCACATGTGTAAACATCATGTTGTCTCCTTGGTGTGAGAAATTGAAAGGGTAAATAAGATCTGCAATGTACAACAGATATTGTGAAATGAGAAGAAATTGTTAAAAAGGAAAAAGGAACTAGGATGGGGGCAAGGGGAAAGGAAGGGAGGAAAAAGGGACAAAAATGCAAATTAGTTATACCATTAGTGTCTCTTAGTTTATAGAAAAAGAAAGTTTACACTAATATTGATTGGAGAATTTTTTATGTCCATATCTTGTACTCTGAGGAACTACCTTAAAGGTAATAATATACAATGTATTGACTATTGTTATTCTCCTATCTTGTTATGAAATTTTGTTTTACCTTTTTTCTATAAAATAAAAAAATACTCAAGGATAGTTTATTATATCTTAGGAAAAACATAAGATATATTAAATTTTGAAAGCAGAATGAAAATTATTTACATACTGCGGAATCACAATTCTGGGGTGGGGGAGCAAAACTATAGCAAGGGAAACAACTGGAAGGAAATGTACTTAAATGTTAGTAGTAACTTAGCAACTTTCCTGGGAATTGAGGGGGGAAGAAAAATAAAAGATAGTCAGTTTTTCCTTTCTTCTATACACATCTGTACTTTCCAAGTACTTTTAATAAGTAGTTACATCTACTTCAATGACAAAGTTATTTCAGAAAAACAATCTCCCCAAACCACATGCCGCCTCTTGTCTAGCTCACCTTTCTGTACCCACACTTCATCCTGGGAGGCCAGTGTGTTATGTGCTACCCTGGAAGAGCTCAAAGACCAGACCCAAATCCACATCCCAGCCTCCAGCTGGAGGGGGTGGCTTGGGACAGCTGAGACCAAACACAGGGATAAGATGCTGGTGGGAACTCAGAGCAATCCTAGTGCCCCTTCCTAATTCCTAGCACCTCCATCCATTCCCAAGTACACATTCATCAAGCACCTACTCAGTACTGGGGTGGGAATCTGAAGATAAGCAAAAGCCAACCCAGTCCCCACCTGTAGGAGCTTGCTAGGTCACCATGACCGAGTCCCACCAACTAAGTGTTTAACAAAGGTTTATTCATGCAACAGTTCTGGTGGCTCCAAGTTCAAGATGAAGGTGTTGGCAGGTTGGTTTCATTATGGGGCCCCCTCTTCTGTCAACTGCAGATGGCCATCTTCTCCCTGTAGCTTCACATGGTCTTTCCTCTGTGCATAGACGTCTGTGTCCTAATCTACTTTTCTTATGAGTACACCTGTCACGTCCTCCTGGATCACAGCCCACTCTGTGACCTCACTTTAACTTAATCTCCTTTGTAAGACCCTCTCTCTGAATACAGTCACGCTCTGATGTCCTGGGTTAGGACTTCAGCATACGAATGAGGGGACAGAGGAGACAATTCATCCCATAAACTACTCGTACAGAGTTTACTCAGTGGAGAGGCAGATATCACTTACCACAGGATGATGAAAATGAGTGCACAACCACGGTAAATGCCATGAGGAAAACATATGCAAGGTGACCAAAAAAATATGGTGAATGTTTATTTTTTAAGTTTATGACAGTAAAAAGTACATTACCATTAATCCACCTCAAATATTTCCCTTCACTTTGAACACACCTATCCCATCGTTCTTGCCACTTTCTGAAACACTTCTGGAAGTCCTCTTTCATGAGTGTCTTTAGTTGCACTATTGTGGCTGCCTAGGTGTCCTGAATCAATTCAAAACATTTACCTTTCATAATGATTTTGACTTTGGGGAGGAGCTGGAAGTCACATCATATGTGATTCATAAAAAAGGGTGGACGAGGACACACCGTGATGTTTTTACCACACTGCCTCTCCAGTGGTGGCACCCAGCAGCAGCAGCAGCAGCAGCAATATTCACATTTTTATCACACCTTGTAAAGACACTCAGGGAAAGAGCCTCTCCGCTAGAATTCAAACACATGTGGTCTGGCTCTGGTGTTTATAACCTTTCCCCTCAAAACGCAGCATGGCTAGGAATTTTGACATTCCATAAAATTAAAGTCTAAATATTCCTCTTAAAACCAAACTCATCAGAGTAATTTGTTTTCTGTCTATGTAGTTTATCTTCAGTGCCTCCTCCCTCTGTACAAATTCTCAGGAAACTTAAGAGGGCTTTGGGGTGTGCCTAAGGCTAGCAGCAGGGGGAGCCAGAGGCGAGGAAAACATGCGGCTCCTGATCCTCAGCATCGTAGGGTGCGGGACTGGAAAATCTGGGCCTTGTGTCTGATGCTGCCAGAATTCCTGAGACCCAAAACGTCACAAGGGCAGAGCTAACTTTCCTACCTCTCTCTTCATTCCTCGAAAGCAGGACTCAGAAGGAAGGAAGCAGCACCCACCATTACGGTGCGATCTGCCTGCTTGCTGAGGAGTCTCTGCACCCCCCTCCCAACTCCGCAGCCAAGGCGCTCCGTTCTTCTCCAGCTGTGACCAGAGCTCCACTGGGGGCTTGGTTCACGCTGCGCCAGGCGGGTAGCAGGGCCGATGGGGTCCAAGCTCCCGCCCCCAGGGCCTCCCGGCTGACACCTGATTCCGAGCCAACGTGACTGCCAAGTGACCTCAGCCCAGCTGGGCTCCACAGTCAGAAAGGCAACGCTCCCCTCACAGCTGTGCCATAGGGAGCCGGGACCCCACCCACACAGCAGCACCCGCCTCCACCAGCACCGGAAGCCCCTGGTGATGGGCACCAGCAGCGGCAACCCCATCGCTGTATTGGGAACTTGTTTTGTGCCAGGCAGCTGCTGAGGGACCTGCTGAAAGCCACTGAGTTCCTCACAGCTGCTCCCGATTCCTTTACCTCTGAGACTGCAGCGCTGTCCTTACAGCATCTATGTGAAGGCACTTTTAAAGGAAAATACTTTTACTTTGTCCTAGTCATAAAAGGACAAGTCTTGAAAACTGCTGGTCTAAAGTCACCTTGCAAAACACACACACACACACACACACACACACACACACACACACACATGCACAAGTCTGACACTCATCATAGACACACCTGTGCACAAACTCACATTCTCAGTCACACACACGCACCAAACCACACATAAACAGCAATTGCGTATGCAACACACATATGCATGCACACACATGCATATGGGCAGTCACACACAGATGTATACTTCACATAGCCACATTCACTATGTCAACATGTCTGCACGTGTCATTTTCTCCACAGCATTTATTTATCCACTCAAATATTTACTGTGTTCTTACCCTGTCTGGATTCTGCTCAAAGTTCTTTAGCTAAATCAATGAAGACAGGCAAAGATCTCTGTCCTCATGAGGTTTAGAGTCTAATAGACTGACGGAGGCAAAAATAGTTAAAAAGTAAATTCTATAATATTAAGTAATTCTATAATATTAAGTAAATTCTGTAAGTATTAAGGAATATAGAACCTGGTAGCAGGGAGGGGTGGAAAATCATCAGTTTGGAGGTGACTTGCAATTTTAAGGAGGTGGTCAAGGTAAACTTCATTGAAAAGGTAACAACAATCTCTGGTAAAGATTCGAAAAAAGAGGGGGACTTTTCCAGGTAGACACCTGGAGGAAAGCAGTCCAAGAAGACAGACCAGCAAGTGCAAAGGCTCTGGGGTAGGGTTGACCTTCCAACCAAAGGAAAGAAGCCACTTCTGCTGATGTGCAGCGAGTAAAGGGTGAAGGGGCAGGATATCAAGCCAAAAAGGAAGAGATCAGTGTGGAAATTATATAGGGCTTTGCAGGTTGAGGTCAAAACAATGATGTTTATTTGGTGTAAAATCAAGATTGACTGGTAGGTCCTGAATAACTATTCATCATGATCTGACTTCTGACTTACCTTTAACAGTAACTAAGTGAACTGAATCATTTTACATGCTATTGCCTACATTACCTCCCAGCCAGAAGCAATCTGTCCCTGTCACCTCTGTGTCTACTTGCTAGCAGCCCTGGGTAAAAATTTTCTGACCAGGTGGCAGAGACAGCCAACATTCCATGGCTTGCCTTCTGGAAGTTGGCTCTAGAAGCTCTGAACAAAATGATTCTGTGGGTCTTCTTACCTCAGTTCTGAGAGGGCAAAAGACTTTTCCCTGAGCTTCCTTCCATTTGCGCAACCTTGATCTTCCCAAATCCGTTGCATCCTTGAGGTCCACAGGGTACTTCGTGGTCCCCAGACCCTCTGTCTGCGCGTGTGTGGATGTGAACCCAGACGTACCCTGAGTCTCCTATTCTAACTTGAATTTGCTTCAATTTATTGAGTACCTATGCTGTGCAATATATTTGTTGTTCTAAGATCTTTACTGGTTTACTTCTTAAATGAGTAAATAAATAGCTTGAGTTTGAAGAATCAAATTTTTTAAAAGAAACCACTTTAACTTGCCTTCTCAGGAAACAACTAAGTTTAACAGCTTCTAGAGCACCAGACTAGAGCTTTCTAGATATGTTGGTGACTACATGCTGGATATGCATCATCAAATTCAATAAGAGGTCATAGGATTTGCCCCACTTTCTAGTCAAGAAGGCTGAGGCTCAGTGTGGGGGAACATAACTTCTTCATGGACACAGCTCAGTGGCAGAGAATCCAAACTCAAACCTAGACGGCCTGATTTCAGGTCTCTAGGGCCTACCCACCAGGCTGTACTGTCTGGTTAGAGGTGAAAAGGCTGCTACCTCCAGAGCCCAGGAGCCAACCAGTCTCTGTTCAGGGAA